CCTTTTCACCAGCTCAGGTACTTTTCTATGTCCATTCGAGGACGAACAATTATTTTAGAGGTGGAGAATGTGATGACCCAAAAAGCCATCTTATGTTTTAGAACTCGAATCCGTGTTTCGAGGCCTTCAAAACCTCATTTTATTCTTCCTCGATTTGTGTGCATAGTCCGTACGCGTATCCGGAAAGCTTTTATGTGGAAAATTAATAAAAATAATATTTTTTACCTTTAAAAGTTAATTTAGTTGACTGCGGTCAACATTTTGAGTGAACGGACCCGGCCTCGTGTTATGACAGTCCCGGTGGATCCGTATAGAAATATGGGACCTGGGCGTATACCCGGAATCGAATTCCAAGGTCCCTAGCCCGAGAAATGAATTTTTGATGAAAATTGTAAGACTGAAAAATCAAATGGTTTTAAGAATTTGGTTAATGTTATCTTGTTGGTATCGGGCCCGTAATTTGGTTCCGGAGCCTGATACAAGTCCAAAATAATATTTATACCTTATCTGTGAATTTTGGTGAGAAACGGAACTGATTTGACTTGATTCGGCCGTCCGGTTGTGAAATAGGAATTTCAAAGTGTTCTTGGGAATTTCATGTGTTTGGGTGCTAAATCTGTAGTTCTAGATGTTATTTTAGCGATTTGATCGACGAGCAAGTGCGTATGATGTTTTAAGACTTGTGTGTATGTTTGGTTTGGAGACCAGAGGAGTCGGGTGAGTTTCGGATAGGCTACGAAGTGATTTGAAACTTAGAAAAATTGCTGGTGTTCTTCAGCTATGTTGCAAGCCTCAGACCTCTCAAATGCGAGGCCAAGCTTCGCATTTGCGACTATTGTTGAGGTCGCATTTGCGAGCTTCTCATCGCAAATGCGAGGAGAAGCTGGGCCAGCCTATGTTCGCAAATGCGAACAATCCTTCGCAATTGCGAAGTTGGTCTGGGGAAGGGGTTCTTCGCATTTGCAAAGAAGGTGGTCGCAATTGCGATCCCAGCTCCGCATTTGCGAACAATATGTTCGCATTTGCGACAGAATCAGAGATGCAACAGGTTCGCATTTGCGATGCCTTTCTCGCATTTGCGAGCTACGCAATTGTGAAGATCAGGTCGCAAATGTTACATCTGCAGCTGTGTAAAAGGGACTTTGACGGGATTTTTGATTCATTTCCCATATTTTCAAAACCTAAACCACAAGAGGCGATTTTCCAAAGACCATTTCTTCCCCAAATCATAGGTAAGTGATTCTTAACTCGTTTCTTTCAATCTTTCACTTCATTTTACAAGATTTCAACCTAGAATATAAGATTTTCATGGTGGAATTGGGGATTTTTGGGTAGAAACTAGTCATTTCGAAATTTGGGGATTTAGACGTCAAATTGAGGTCGGATTCCATAACCAATTGTATATTCGTGCTCGGTGGTGAATGGGTAATCGGATTTTGGTCCGAATTTTGGGTTTGGACCAAGCAAGCTCGGGTGTTGACTTTTGTTGACTTTTCCAAAATGGCCTAAACTGGATTCCTTGCTATCGTGGGTGGTTCCTAAGGCTTAAACTGAATTGTTTGGTTGGTAATTTGCTAGATTCTATTGGTCTGGAGGCTTGTGTGAAGGGAAAAGCGGTGATTGAGTGGGAGCGAGGTAAGTGTCGTGGCTAACCTTAGATTGAGGGATTAGGTGTCATTTGCTTACTTGTTACGTAGTTTGATGTTGAGTACAACGCATAGGTGAGGCAACGAGTACCTATACGTTGTTCTTGAGTCATAGCATGTGAGTGAGTCTTATTCTTGTAGATATCGTATTTTTGATCATATTGTTCATGTTTAGACTAGCTATTCGATGTGTTGAGCAATTTCTTATCATATATTGTTGAATTTGGTATTGATTGAGTATTTACTCAAAGTTGAGATTGGTATTGTGGAACTAAGTGTTGAAGTAAGACTTGTGGTTGTCATTTCTATCTCCCAATTATTGTTGTCTCTTATTTTGGTGAGGTAGAGTGATAAAGCACGAAAGGTAATGCAGTGCACGTTTCTATTATTTACATGGTTAGGTTGAGTGATAAAGCACGAAGGGTGATGCTGTGCACGTTTCTATTATTTACATGGTGAGGTTGAGTGATAAAGCACGAAGGGTGATGCCGTGCACGTTTCTATTATTTATATGGTGAGGTTGAGTGATAAAGCACGAAGGGTGATGCCGTGCACGTTTCTATTATTGATTATCTGCTGAGGTTGAGAGTAAAAGCACGAAGGGTGATGCCGTACATTTTTTCGTTTGTTGTGTTTACTTGTTATTACCGGTTCAAGGTGTACTAGCTGTTTAAATTCCTCTGTTGTTGTGATTCTTTATCTTGCAACCCCCTTAGCATGCTTCCCCTCTCGCTAAATTCTTCTTAGCTTCTGTTAGTTGTTATTCTGGTAGTGTATGATTAACTGCACAGGTTTATGTATGTGTCTTGTCCTAGCCTCGTCACTACTTCGCCGAGGTTAGGCTCGGCACTTACCAGTACATGGGGTCGGTTGTACTGATACTGCACTCTGCACTTTTTGTGCAGATTTCGGTACCGGACCTTGTTGACCCGAGTTGAGCTGCTGCCTCTAATCCTACAGGAGACCCAAGGTAGATCTGCAGGCGTTCGCAGCCCTTGGAGTCCCCTTCCAGTTATCCCAGTTTTCTGTTTCTTTTAATTCGAAAACAGTTGTACTTTCTTTCAGCCAGTATTTGTAGTGACTCTTAGAAGTTCGTGAATTGTGACACCAGATTTTGGGTAGTTGTGTATAAGTACTTGGGTTACTATGAAATTTTGTACTCTTTTAATCTGTTTTGGTTTAATTGTTGTTATTTACTGAATTGGTTAAGAGTAAGCGCATTAAATCTTTATCTGTTGACTTGCCTAGCATCTGAAAGGTTAGGCGCCATCACGGTCCTGACGATGCAAAATCCGAGTCGTGACAGTTGTAATACTTCATCGTAAAATTATGAATAACTATTCTATTAGTAAAGATTAACATTCTTTATATGACATCGATCTATTACTTAGCCATATTTTAAACTTCTACCGCGCGAAGCGCGTGCAGATTTAGTAGTTTCTAAGATAAGCCAAGGGAGTTCTTTATATCTATAGACAATGTGCCCGTTTGGATCTTAATTTAAGTGCTTTTAAGCCAAAATAACTTTTATGTCATTTTTTAGTGTTTGGATAGAGTAAAAATTGCTTTTAAGCTCTCATTTTAAAGTTAAAATAAAAAAAACAGGCCAAAAGCTAAAAGGTAGAATTCCTCACTTATGGCTTAAATACTATTTTGACTTAAAATTACTTAAAATAAGCTCATCCAACCGGGCTCTATAGGACAAACATGCCTAAATGTAAATTGTAGTTTTTGACTGGATTTCTGTACAAAAAATAAGTCGTAGATAAATTGTAAATTTTGACCGGATCTGTATATATTTTATGAAATCTTTAGTTCCGTTCTGTAAATAGAAAAACTTAGACAAACCGAGTAAATAAGTTTACAATCTCATATATATACGAAAAAACCTCGCATAAATTAAAATATACGAATAAAGAAACATAAGCGAACACATATGCATAAATTAAAGTCACTTATGTTTATGTCGTATATTTCAATTTATGTATATGGATTTTGGGTCGAGTCGGGTTGGTCCGCTTTTTAATTGGGTTAATTTAGATTGAAAATAAAAAATATAAAATGCGAAAAAAAGATATTGCATGTGTTTTCCGGCAGTTTTGATTTTTGTATGAGTTAGTGAAAGTTTTGTGATTTTTATTTCAGAAAATATAGTTAATTAGCCTTCAAAAGAAAAGAAAAAAACATAATTATATAATTTTAATGAAAAAATCATAGTAACATGGCCCACATTCATACATGACTAGCTTTCCATTGTATCCAGTATCGCAAGCAAGGAAGTCAAATCTTTTCTCCTTCGGTCTCTTTGCTTTTGCTCTAACAATTTCCTTCACTTTTCACCATTCCCCAAACTACTTATAGCAGAAGCAAAAACTAGAGGATTTAGCACTGAGCTGATCCCACTTGCTTTTAACAAACTTTTATGCTAAATGGAGAATGGGACTTGCTGCTTTGTGCATTTGGCAAGAGACAGGCGTAAAACTTATCGGCATCGGGTGCTTATACCATCGCAAATATGTTATCACTAAATTATAGTTAATTAATCCATATTCTTTCATTAATTTATTACTTAATCATGATAATTTAACATGATTTGTTGTAAACACCTGGTGTGGACAATTTTTACCATAGATAGGAATTCCATATTTGTTTGTCTTGACGTAGGAGCAGTAAATATTAATATCAATTAGTTGTAAGCAAAGTCTTGTTTACATAGTTATATGGTGTAGGACTCTCTTGTATAAATTGATGGTGCCTTCGATTTATGGCGATTGGTGACTACTAAGTTTATTCCTTGACCAAGAAAAAGTGAACAAATTTATTTGAATGAGAGTAGAGCTGTATTGGAGATAAGTAAAAAAAGTTTTGTGATAGCTTCAATTTCTAGATTTTATGAAATATGTAACTTTTTTTCTACTTGTATAGCTTGTGCCTTGTTGTCCCCTTCCGTATCCCAGTTTATTCATGTCTAGGTATTAAAAAGATTCATTCCGACTTTCCTAAATACAAAAATAAAAGGAGCATCTTTGGTTTAATAAAAGGAGCATCTTTGGTTTATGAAAAATCCCTTCATAAAGCTTCAGGATAACCTTATTTGCTTAAGAAAAGACTTGTACCTCCTTCAAACAAAAATATCGAGATTCAAGACAAGGAACCACAGATAAAACTGTGTTTTTTCATTAGTGTATATAATTCACAAAAGCACCACAAATGTGCTAATGGATACAAAGTAGAAAGTACAGCAGACGATAATAATTATAAGATCATGGTAATGAGCTTAACTATGATTTTCTTTTTAGTGTATGTGTGTGTGTGTGTGTGTGTGAGAGAGAGAGAGCGCGCGCGCTAATAAACAGTGTCCAAACAATAATGTGAATTATTTATTGCTCAAGATAAAGGGAGGAAAACCTTATGAGCTTTTCCACAGCGCCTCCACAACAAAAATATACACGTTTAGACTACTGCTGGAACTTTGCTATGTAACCAAAGAAAAATAAGGGACAAAGGAATACATGCTAAATTTTGCAGCCACTAATGCTTGCATTAAGGTAGGCTGTCTACATCACACCGCTTGGTGCGGCCCTTCCCCACCCTGCGTGAATGCGGGATGCTTTTTGCACCGGACTGCCCTTTATATATATATATATATATATATATATATAGGGGATGCTTGTAACCATATGTCGATACTCAACTGTCTCTTCAAAGGCCTTGGATAAAATGGGCACTTTCTTTTTTATTGAGAACTATAAAGGCATGTTAAACACTATGCAATCTGACCTCTCCTCGAGAAGTGAAAGATAATTAGCCCTACAATGTGTAGGTGATATTGCTGCCACAATGGGAGACACTTGGTAACCTTCACTCCATTGTGGGAAGTTCTCTCCAGATCTGGTTGAAAAACAGAGACTAGTAAACTCTGGTGTCAATATGATGTTAATAGCAGGTAGCAGCTGCACCATGGATTCTTGTAGCATATCAACCATCTGCCGGAGACAGCTGACACCTCCAATCAGTTTGTTTTGGTTAATAACAGAAGAACCAATATAAAGAGCGACAATTCAACCACAAACTTCGGGCTCGATACACGTTCAAACAACTGCTGCCACCTGTAAGTTCAACCAGTAGAGAGCTGCTGGTAAAGCCTGTTATCCATTACCAGAATGTTCACCACATTCAGAATGGTGGCTATAGACGTAGACTATTCAGCAAAAAAAATACTAAAGCACTATTCCTGTCAGATAATAATGTGACAACGCTCCAGTATCCATACAGAAAGTATAAACATTCATGATAAGAGAGCATATGTGGACATTTCTTGAACTCTGAGACCCCCCCCCCCCCCCCCAACCCCAAAAAACCAAAAAAAAAAAAAAAAAAAAACCCCAACCCCCACACCCTCAAGAAAGAAAAAAGGAAGAGCTATCCTAACCTGATATAGTTAGCGAAGTTCAATGAGTAGCAGAGATCGGCAGGTCACAGCATTCAGTTTTGCCTATCAACTAATTTCGATCATGTATCTACTGTATAGTACAATAATGGGAGAGAAAGTTATACCCCATTATCTCTGTCTTTTTTTGGCTAGAAAAATAACTTAATAAAACTCATTTCAATTGACTTTTAACAGTATGTATTGAGGTGAACAACTCAAAATCATATAGAAATATCCACATGCATCAAAGATAGCACAAAATTTCCAGTTATAGTCTTCTTAAATTTTAAGTTACAAACAAATTAAAAGAAAACAGAAAAACTTACAAATTTACTTCTCCATCCATGTAATCTCCATTAACAATTTCCTCCTGTGCAAATTCTTCCATTATAGTACGCTGTCGTTCATTCAACACTCTACAAACAAAAAAACAATGATAACCAAGCTAAAAAGCATCCTTGAATTTTTGTCCGTGCAGCAAACTCTTGCGGAAGTTCCAGATGAGCAACAGAAAAATAGAGAAATAAATGAGAACTGTCTGGTCAGAAGGATTTCATCTCATAAGATACTCTTTTCATCCCATAATACTTGACCTACTTCGCTTTCCTTGCTTATTCATCCCTTAATTTTTAATCCCTTTCTTCAAATGGAAAACTTTCTTAACAATTCAAACTACAATATTAATATACATATTCTCAACTAACTTACTTCAGTTTCCACTCTTCGAACAATCATTTAAGTACTTCTCTAACACACTAAGCGTAATCAATTATAACATTCTAACCGTAACAACCACGCAAGTCAAGCTAAGTCACATATTTTGGATAGTGTGAGCAAACTAGCAAAAGCACTAACAAACTGTGATGCCCATGTTGACGGGCGAGCTGATTAGGATGGGTCAAGAAGAAGGATTGACAGGCTTCTACGCTTCGGTTCAAGTACATATGACACCTTGGGCAAACCTCACACTGAAAAGGTAGAGGAGAGTGAAATGTTATATAAGACAACATGAGTTCACATGATATACGAGCTTATGGTACCAGAGTCGAACTTGGTATGATTGTGGGGCAAACCTCAGCGAGCATGAGGGAGGGTGGATCAAAGAGAAGAAAAGATAGACTTATCAGTAACAAGCTTCCGAAAGGAGAGGTGAATATGACACATTATGCAAATCTTACATCAAAAAAGGAAGAAGAAAATTAAGTGCTATACAAGAGTAAGACAAAGCATAAGTTCTCATGGTAAGCGTGCTTTCCGGTCGATGTGGGGTAGCCCAACGGACAAATCCATGAAGTTTGTTGGACCAAAGCGGGCAATACGTGTCATGGGCTTGAATTGCAGCTATAACATAGGCAGATCTTACTGGGTCCGGAAAAAATAAGAGTTCATTTTAATATCTTCCCTTTTCAGGCTTTGGAGAGGTGATTCTGCTCTTTCAACTAGAGGTGGCAGCTCTTTTCCGCAGTAAACAAAAGATCACTCTTATGTTCCTTTCTTTTTTTCAACTAGATGTCGTACATTTATTTCTTCAAAATTTTTGTAAGGGAGAAAGTGATAAATAAGTTTAAAGCAGCTTTACAACAATATTTAAGATAGATGTCGATACATTAGGAAAAGGGATGATAATGATATTTTACACCTGATTGACATTTCAGGAATCTTTTTTAACTTTTATTTTATAAGTTTATATAATTTAAACAAGTTATAATACTTACGTGATATTTTTAAAATTATGTATTTATTGATATGGATACACGCGCAAAGCGCGTACCTAAAACTAGTAATAATAATAAAGGAAAGAGCAGGTGATTATAAATCTGTAGATGCATTCAATTTACAATTTGACTGCCCAGACACTTTCATACGTAACAATAGATATTGCTAGTTTATGGTTCATTTAGTGATACAAGTTATCTGACCAGCTCAGATCAAGGATTGACTCAACTCACTGGTTCTAAGAACGGGGCTATCATCCTCTCATTTTACACATTAGTGACCATTTCACTCTTTTAAACACCACTTTGTCTAATGCTCAGAGGTGTCATCCCTACTATCCCCAATCTCTAAACATCTGCAGCATTTTGAATAAAGATTAGCTGTTCAACAATTCACAAAGGAATCTCTCAAAGATATTGATGGTGCAATTACCTTGGGAATGTTCAGGATCCCCATAAAAAATTACTTATTACCTTTATGAACACGCCCTTCTGATGACTTTAAAGATTGTATGAGTTAGTACAAATTGTTCTTGTGCATCAGATCGCAGATCCTTTTTGAAGTCACTTATCATTTCTTCCTGCTCTTTTTAGTTTTTTCCCATGAGGATGCAGGATTAGCTAATTTTGGTGCTTGACTTAATATAAATCAGCTCAGGTAGCATCCTTGAGTTTAATAGCTTAAGAAACCCATTAAAGACATTTGTTATTTCCTCCAAGCAACGCAATTGTTAAGATCATCAATTCCCTACCCCTACCCCCTACCCCCCAACCCTCTAACAAGTCTAATGAACTGCAATCATTTGGGATAAAGGTGATCTGGAAATGCGAGAGAGAAAACATACGTCGGGAAGTCAATGCGGAACCGCACATATTGATCTCCATGGTTCACCAGAAACCCACTCTTTGGCAAACCTAAGTATGACAGACGACAAGACTGATCACTCAGAAGGAAGCATATCAAACAGAGTAGAAGTGACTCTGACTTAAGCTATGATACCTTTGCCTCGTAGTACCACAAGTTGTCCAGGCTGAACCCCCTTGGGTATCTAAAAGGACCAGAAACAGAAAACAGCAGCAAGCATTGGTAAAAAAGAAAGTCAAAAAAGGAGAAATACAGTGGTCGTAGCACATGAAACAAAACAATGAAAATAAAATAAACGGAAGAAAAACACCAAGGAGTAAGCACTTGACTGATGATGATTTTATCAGGCAACATATGAAACAGTAAAGCAACTTCAGTAACTGGAAATGCATGACAGAAGTGATTGAAATCTCTTTTTATCAAATTGTTGCAATTGATGTTTGACCCCGAAGCCAATTCCTTGCTTGTTTATGAGCATTCAAGTAGCTTCAGTTCTCATCTCCCCTCTTTAGTCTGGATTAGAAGACAAACTTTTTTTTCCAACGAGAATGGCCTTCATTTTCAGAAAACAACTACAGGTGGATAAAATAGTCCGTAATTTGGGAGAATTGGTGTTAGTTTTGTCTTTTGCAAAATATTACCCTTAGAGTTCCCAAAGCGCTCTTTCCCCAGACTCCACTTCATATTTGGAGCCAGAAACAGTTGAACCTCTAGACGAGGAATTGAAAAACTTTACTTCGTATTTTACACTACAGATAGTTCACAAAGACAGTGCACTTGATTTTTTTTAATTACAATTGGATGGGGAGCCTTGGAGCAATGGTGAAGTTGTCCCCATGTGACCTATAGGTCACAGGTTTGACCGTGGAATCAGCCACTGTCGCATGCGTTAGGGTAGGCTGTGCGGTCCATCCCCGGGACCCTGCGTCAATGCGGGATGCTTCGTGCATCGGCCTGCCCTTTTTTATCCGTAACAATTGAAGAAAAAAATTTAAAAACCAATTTAAATAGAATCACAGAACCATGGAATAGATGACTATCTCAACACAGATAAGCAAAGGATAAGCAAAATCTCTGCCATTCAGTCAAATTTGAAAAAACAACCGAAATGGAAGAAGAAAGTTTAAACAGACACATTCAAAATCAAGGTGACGCAAAATTCACTATTAGTATTTTACTTCACATTTATTCTAACGCCTTGACAGCATTACAACACTTATAGCAAATAAAATACATTAAAAATGACGAAAGATGGATAAGCCCAGTATAAAACGCATACCTGTATCTGTGTCTTTCCGGATAGAGTTGGTACCTCAACTTTACCACCAAGAATAGCCTATTAAAATTCAATAAGAACCACCAAATTTCATAATTCTACTTTAAGTCACAAAAGCATATGTAAAGAAGAAGAAGAACAAAAGAGCTTTAAGCATTTATTTCAGGTCTTCTGCATTTAGTCTTCTGTTCTAACTTCTATGATGTTCCCTTCTCTTTATATTTTGCAAATCCATAACCTACAATTTAAGGATTGGAGCTTATTCAACCAAGTTCTAACATCTTTTTCTAGTAAACACGCTGCTATGATGCCCAGCTACACTACGTATATGTTGTTTATGAGAAAGGTAGAAGGCAAGCTACATATTACATCTTTTGTCTAACAAATACTCGCCTTACTCACTGGTTAACTTTTCTTTAACCAGTTAGTTGGTCTTTGTTAGCCATGTGAGCAGAGTGCCATTAACTAAAATAGTTTAGATATATGAACCTTGAAACAAATACTACGCATGGTAGTGGCTTGAACAGGGATAGGCGTTGTGATCCCTCCAGCTGCTTATTTTTCTAGTTTCTGAATTATTTTCTGTATCAGATATGCCCCACTTTTACTTCTACAGTAACAACCCTGGTTTTTACTTTTAACATTCCATTATCAGCCTACTCATAAATATAGCCGGATAAACCAAGAGAAGACTACTGATTAAAAAAGAAAAAGAAACAACCAACAGAAGACCACCAGAATACACATCTACGATGCCCAATCCAATCCCTGCTTTCCAGGTGCCAGCGGTATCACCCACCCACTCGGTATTATCTTCAACCAGTTACCTTGCTAACCAGTATCAAAGGAAAACACAGCAATCTCTAACCATTTCCAGCTGGAACGGGATGAAATTTGCTGATGGGACTGTTCAAGAGAGAGATTGAGGAACGTTTCATAGAGTGTCAATGATGGTACTAATTATTTTTATTTTTTAATTTTTTTGAATAATGGTACTAAGGTTGCCAACTGAAATGGGATGAAATTTGGTGATGGGACTGTTCAAGAGAGAAAGATTGAACAAAGTTTCGGAATTCAGAGACTGTCGATAATGGTACTAATGATTTTTAATTTTTTTATTTTGTTTTATAAGATGCACAAAGAAAAAAGGGAGAGAGTGCGTCAAATATCTCCTCAGTAACATGAGAAGGACGAAGGAGACAACTAGACGTTTAAACTTATCAAGAAATAAAGAAGAATAATCCAAATATCTTTCTACCAATAGCGAATCAAATTTTTATGGTAAAGCATATACTTTATTAGCATGCCCAAAAGAAGGAAAAAATTGAAAGTGATTCTCACTTTTGTAAAGCTGATATGATAATCCACATAAAGGTCTGCTCCATCTCTAGCAAAAACAGGATCTTTAGCAACCTGCAAAACAAAAGGCATGAAGTTTTCACAAAGACAGATTCAACCAGCCAACGAAAAGGACCCCAAAGACAAAACGTTTTTAAAGAAAAAGGGGAAATCCAAATTGACAGCAGAACAACACCAATTGTATGCTCAAGTAGCCGATTATCAAAAGATTCTTCATTTGTCTTAACGTGACCATGTCTACTGGTGTGACACAGACATGGAAACTTGGCGCGATCAATGTAGCGCTGAAGCTTAGAGCAGCATAGGCAAGACTCGCCTCACTTCACTGGCACTTTACAGCTTTAGTACAGGTCTCACAAGAGTCTCAACTTCCAATGGGATCAGTCTTAACGAGGGCAACATCGAATAGCAAACATAAATGACAAAGTGATAGAGGACACTTTTCTATTAATATGTTGGTGAATTGGAATACGAAAACAGAAATGTAGTAAAAGAACATTATAGTTACTAATCTGAACTACAAACTGCATCTGAATCATAAATTTAAAATGCTTTTTGAACTTGAATAGCATGGCTTTTAGGTCATACATTTCCATAGCTATAGCTTCTCAATGCTCTAGTCCACATAGTTATGGTTTGCATTTATATTCATTTTTCTAGTATGACATTTATTTTTTATGTTTTATTTATTTCTTCAGTAGAGCTTTTCTTCGCTACGGCTCATGCTTTTATTTGCACTTTGCACCCAAAGCTCCAGCTGACATGGTACTTTTCCATGCTTTTACCTTTGATAACAATACGTGGATTCCACATCATATATAGCCCAAGAAAAAAACCTGCACTTACCATGCATGCTACTCAAACACACCCTTTTGCATGCTACCGTTACGCGTAAATCAGTCCATGTAACATAGCTTTAGAACGTATTGTGGAAGGGCTTGAGCCAAATCAATTGTTCGAATAATGGTCCAAGCTCCAATACTAGTCTTTTCGTCTTTCGTTTTGAAGTAAATGTGAATGCTTATCCCTACTTGCTTTCAAATATCTCAAAGTAAATTATTGAGGGGGCAGATAAATATTAAAAAATTCATCCCCTCACAATGTATTTTTGGAGAAACATAAAGAGCTTCAATTGAATCAAGTCATTTCTTGTTCAAGCAGTTCTTGCTTGAGTTGAATCAGTCAAGAGTTCATTGAAAGAAGACAAAGGCCAAGGAGAGTAGAACCTGAGTTGTTACCTGAGCCAAAAAAAGAAGCTAAGTAGAGTTGAATAAGGTGAAGGTGAATACCGCTTATCAAGCGCTTGGTTAAGTGTCCAAAACTGTAAACTTGCTGGTTCGATTGGATTCGAACAAATATCTCTGGGTGATTTTCTTTTTATTCGGTCGTGAGGGGGCTTCCACTTTATTACTCAGGTAGTGTGAAATGGCTAGAATCCCTTATCACCTTTCCTTTCGGTGATATATTTTGCCTTAGCACTTACGAAGTAGACGTCATTTATTGAGTTCATGTGAGCTCTTCCATTCCCGATCCAATTACAACTAAAAGAATATTCATCAGCTTATCACTATCAGATATTCGATGCACCTCTACTCCATCAACTTTCGTCGTCAGAAAAATAAATACAGTGGTTTACTCATCGTGCATCTTAACTGCTTAATATACTTTTTTCATAATTCAGCCAGTTCTGTTGAAGATTGAGGAGCTGGAAAAGCCAACATAGAGAGTTTTCGAATACCTTCCCCTTCCCCTCTTTATTTGTTTTCTGACCGTCTAGAAAAGGTAAATGGCCTTTCTCTCTACCTTTATTTACCCTTCCTTAAGACCTATCTACCCAAATAATATTGTTTAAGAGAAGGGTAAATAACCTAAAGCATTGGCAAACACACTATTATGTATATATCATCTCGCTTCATTAAATAACAAAGCTTCTTCGTCGTTCTCTTCTTATAGTAAACGTGTAGGATTCCCCCCCCCCCCCCCAAAGCAGCCTTTTTTGCCTGTCAATGAGCAGGCCTTAGCAGATCCTAGTCATGTCTAGCTTGTAGGTGTTCATACCCATCACCCATTGATATTCCAAATCCCTTAGTGTTGAAAGAATAAATCTAGTGGGTTTCTGCTATCAATCAGGGATATCTGACGATTGATCAATGAGCCAAAAATTTAATGGATTTCTGCTATATATAATGCAAATATTATAGTGATTGACCCATGAATAAAAATTCTTGAAGTCACAGATAATCACAAAGAATCACATTCGATAACCCAATATAGAAGATATATTAGAAGTAAGACTTGACAGATGAGAATCATGCACCTTTAGCTTTATAAATAGGCTGCCTGGTTGCATCCCTCGCTTGCCAGCATGACCAGCTTTAGGCACACGAATAGTATCACCAGAGTCAACACCTGATCCATCAGGAAAAGGAAGATCATATGATAATCCTATGTTATGCTGTTAGACCTTGCTACTGAGTGGAAAATCAGAAGAAGTTTCAGACGAATACATTCCTACTCATCCAATGATCATAAGATCAATCAACTACGCCTAATTACCAAATAAGTTGTGGTCAACTATATGAATCATCTATATCCATTCGGCTCTTTTTATGCCAATAGCAATTTAAAAGTTCCCTAAATCTCACATATGTTGTTATATTGACATACAAGTCTCTAACCACCCTAAAATGACTTTTGATAAGCCAGACCCAATGTAAGTGTAACAACAACAGCTAAGCATTAATCCCAACTAATTGGTATTTCCTATATGGATCATCTCTTTCCATTAATTTTGTTCTTAGCTAAATCAGCATGGATACCAAGAGACTATAGGGTTCTTTTGAAACTTACCTTCATAAATTTTAAATGTACCCACCTTCTTAATCATCATAGTGTAGCATCAATGAACCCATGCATTTGGAGGTCTACGTAAAACATGGTTAAACCATCTCAGGTTAGCTTCTCTCATTTTATCGTCTACATGTATTACCTTAACTTTTTGTCGGATTTGGTTATGTCTAATCTAGTAATCTTATATAACACATAATCATCTTAACATCTGCATTTCTGCAATACTTTTCTTGTGGCTATGTTAGGTCTTAAAAGTTCAACATTCACTCCCACATAATGTTTTTGGTCTCACAACCATATTATAGAATTTACCCTTTCACTTTGATAAGTATCTTCCAATTAATAGTACTCCCATCACGCTCTTCTGTTTCAATCATCTTAATTTTGTTCTCTGTGGTAAAGCTTCGTTATCAGCCTTTAGCAAAACCATTAGCCTTTCTAAATTGACTACACTTTATCTTCTCAGTTCAGTGTTGTAACTCTACACTCTAAATTCAGGACCGTACCAGTTAACGCAACCAGAACACATCCGGTAAAAAAGGACTTTTCTCCATAGTAAGGAGGTCATGGTATGACGAAAACCAAGTACGACAATATAGTCAAATCCTTTGTGGAAAAAGCAACAGAATAGTCTTAATCTTCATATAAATTGGTACTTTATACACTTTTTTTGACTTGGTACTTTGTACACTTTCTTCACCTATTATAATCGATAAACTTATCTATTACAGTTCTATACTATGGGGATTTGTATCCATAGAGTTTACCACATGTATTTATGCCCAAACACCATCTTGGCTGTTTAAGTTTAAAATTAGTGCAAGCCGAACAGTCCCCCCACCCTAGAGGAGAAAAAAGAAAATGTGAAATATCAAGAATTGACAGAGTTGATTTATTTGAAATTAGTGTGCCATCCACCTAGTTTTTTAAGCAGAATACACAAATACTTTAAAATGAAGTACCAGATGTAGCTCAGAAATAAACGAAACTCCTTATGGTAACACTTAAATTGGAAAGGAAAAACCAATGCATACCGCCGGGTATAGTTACTTTAACGTCTTTAGTGGCCTCAACGACTCCTGATCCTTTGCATGCCCTACAACGTTCCTAATAGAAACCAAGCAATGATTATTTGAAGCTTTGTGTCAAATCAGAGAGCTGTTCATTGTCTCAGAATCAAGACCTTAATAACTCGTCCAGATCCTTTACAGGTACTGCAAGTTGCTGTAAAAGGAGGGATTGTAACCTGATGAATAGGTCCCAGAGTATTAATAACACATAAAGATTCTGAACATTGCTCGATTATCATGCAAAAAAGAAAGTGAACACTGAAGTTAAACCTCAAAAAATGAGGAAATGCTCAAAAATTTGAATGTACTTACTCTCCCAATTCCTTGACAAGTTGGACATACTTTAGGCTTGGAATGCAATGGATAGCCCCTACCATCTGAATGAGAAAAAGGATAAAACAGAGTAAAAGTTAAGATCATGATGTGTGGTAAAACTAAGAATTTCAAAGCGGAAATTTTGGGATAAAATTCACTTTGTCAATGACCACAACTACTCCCATTAGGTTTTTAACAATTAAAAAATACTCCATGCATTTGACGTGATGCACATTGCTATATCACAAATGATATGCCTCTAAAAGAAGTAATAGACCATATACTAAGAATTTAAATTCCAAAACAATTCAAAGTAAGCATGACTCTGTTGAGTATAACAACTTCATACAACTCAGACAATTAATTTAATACTTTCTTCTAGCACTAAAAAGATATTCCTCCTATGTGACGGTGTTTGACTGGCACAGAGTTTAAGAAAAAAAGAAAGACTTCGGGAACTTCTGACACAGATATTTGTATGGCTATAAATCATCTCATTAAGGGTATGGCAAGCTTGAATTTTTTTTTTTTTTTTTTGGTTACATTAAAATGAGAAGTTTAAAGTTAAATTGTTTATGAATATAGAAAGGGTGCCATTTTATCGTGGAACTAAAAAGAAAAGTGTGCCACATATAATGGGACAAAGGGAAAAGTAAAAGTCAAAGTAACTCCATTTTTCATGCTAAACCATGTCATATTATATTGAATAGATTGAATACTGTTACGTTTCACTTCTCTCCTCTTGAGAAGTAGACTTAAATATCATTTTCTTTCGTTTTAGATGGAAGCGAGATAGTGACTCCAGGTATAAGCACCATTATCATGAAAATAGAGTAGCCTCATTACGTCAAAATTTTAACCAAACTTTCCAGGTGAGCTTTGTAATCAATGTACTAATTTAACCATTAGGACATCACCCTACAGTACTGTATTTCTAGCAGGGATAAAAGCATGAATGTTGGGACTCTAGCAGTCTTTTGCGCCCTTCACCTCTAGTAACGAGAACAGAGAAAGAGAACGAGAACATGCCCATACAGAGAGAGAGAGAGAGAGAGAGAGAGAGAGAGAGAGAGAGAGAGAGAGAGAGAGAGAGAGAGAGAGAGAGACCAAGAAGCAATATAAATTGCATAATCTTCCTAGTCATGCTTCCGGGAAGAGATGGCATAACAAACAAAGAAAAAGAAGACAATGGAATATCCAACTCGGACACAAAGGAAAGGCTTCAAAAAACACAACAGGTGGTTTAAACAATGTGGATAGAAAGAGAACATCAGTTTTTACTTACGGCAAGAATCACATGGAACATCTGCGTCAAATGACAGATGTTTTGTGCATCCTTTAGCAGCTTCAGGAAAAGAGAGAGAAAGCTCCACCTACCATTTGAAGATATTACAGTCAATCAGGTTTAGTTTTGGAGTCCCTCAAATTGGGGGAAACATCAAATGGAACACAATCACAAAAGGCACCACCTGAATGTCTTGCGTCAAATTTTCAGCCTCATTTTCGAATATCTGTGAGATATTGAAGCATATACATTTAAGCAAATTCCATAAATCATTGCACTTCAGAGAAGAGGAAAAGAAAGGGGAGGAAATACCTCAGAAAAAATTTTCTGAAACGAATCAGAGAATTGTGTGCTATAAGAATATCTAAAATCATTGCCATTCGCATAATTATAATTCATATCTTCTGTGCTGCTAGGTTGCTCCTTCATCTGTATTAGTAAAAAATTTATTCTTAGTTATGAAGTGTACACCATGATATAGCATAATTTGAAAATACAAGCCAAAGGAGAAAAGATATGTCACCATGTCATATTGTGCTTTCTTCTGTGGATCTTGCAAAATCTGAATTCACCTTTCACGATTACAATCCATAAAATTATCATATGAATGTAGTACAAGGAAATGCAGCAATTCTTCAATCATGGTCATAGTGCTATTTTTGGAGAACATAGAAATGTTTAAACCTCGTATGCATCTCTTATCTCTTGAAATTTCCTCTTGGCGGAAGGATTATTCTTATTGGCATCTGGATGGTACTTTTTTGCAAGCTGCAAAAGATTTTTAAGTCAAAGCACTAGAGAATTACAAATAACATGGAAAGGATAAAGGAAAAGATATAATGCCACAGATCTAAGCAAGATAATGCTCAATATAAATGAAGCAAAAAATTCTTGAAGTGCAAAAATATTGAATCACTTGTCTCAAAACACTGGCACAATGTGAATTTTCCACCTCTAAACAAAGAAGAAGATTCCTTTCCGTATATGGGACTTTGGGGGGGGGGGGGGGGCAGGAGTAAGAAGAAGATTCTGTTCTATTGTAATGAAAATGAACTATTAAATAACCAGCTTCTTCATTGAAAACAATCTACAAATGACTAGTAGAATTTCAACACCATAAAGGAAATAGATCCATACTCAAACAAAAAATAGTGCTATTGACAGTGACAAGCTTTTAACACCAAAATAGCAGACAAGATCTCATTTCAACTGAAAATAAACATATCAATAAGGCACCTATTCAGACCTAAAACCCTATTGCATAATATCCTCACCGCATGAAAAGCCTTCTTAATCTCATCTCGACTAGCATCTCTAGATACACCTAGAATTTCATAGTAATCTCGTTCTGCAGAATAACAAGCTCCTGAAAGTGAAAGGATGCAATTGGTACATACGATAGAGCAATCAATAAGCTGAAACACACAAATCAAAAGTAACTATCTATAGATATTGGAGGAATACCGGTGGAATGGATAAAATGCTTCGATGGCGGAAATCTCCTAGTCGAAGAACTATTAAGTTTACCAATAAAACTGCAACTGTGCAAAGCTGATATACAAAGCAAAGTCAAACATAACATTATGGATTGGGTTTTCAACTGGCTGAACATAGTGCATGTTAGAGTAATAAGATCTTCTGGCAAGTTCCGGTGTTTCAACATACATTCAGCATATGCATGAACACAGTTTTCAGTAACAACTATATCTAGCATTTACATATTCAACTCCGATTCACGTAAATCTGATGTTGTCAGCTAGTACTAGGTTGGGGGAGGGGGGAAGAGGGGGGGGGTAGGGGGGGAGGTACCAATAAAATATGCAACATATACATTGCAGTAGAATGGTCATACCGGGATACTTGGGAGCCCAAGGATATGGCCTAGTAGTCAATGAAGTGGGAGGAAAACCACGAGGTCTCAGGTCCAAATCTCAGCGGAGGCACAAAACACTAGGTGATTTTTTCCCATTTGCTAAATCTTGGTGGGCAAAGTTGGTTGGTGAGAGGTAGCAAGTACACATTGAAATAGTCGAGGTGTGTGAAAGCTAGCCCGGGATAGGGAAAGAACATAGATGTGATGATTACATCATAAAACAGAGAAAGGACTATTGCCTATTGCAGTGGTATGGTTTTATCCCTAGCATGGAATTGTGATATGAAGAGCTAGACATAAGACTCATTCTTTATCTCCTGCTAATTATCTTCCATTGAATTAGGATATCATTGCAATGTACCCCACCAGCCCTGAACACTTAGTAAACCTTACTTTATTGAGGGGAAAAAAACTGAACTACTTCTTAAATCATTTAGCTCTTCATCTTTAAAGTTCCTCTAATCTAGCTGCGCAGCATGGTTGTTCTAAATATGCTCCCTTCAGATTCATGATATTGAAAGTTTGACCTCTATAAATATAATATAAGTATTACTTGTCTAAATAGAATCACAATGGGCTGACTTCTAATTCTTATGGGACTTTCACCTTTTCGATTCTCAAGTAGATTGACTGACTTTGTGCTATCTTTTTAAAAATTATAACTTTAATAATTTTAAATCAAATAAACTACACATAACACATAGCATAAAACAAGAGGACGATGCAAAGAAAAATTTAAGTTGTAAATATTGTTGAAGTGTGTGACTATCTCATCTAAAATCGTACGTTTCGAAAGAGTGCGCTTTTATTTATTTTTATAAGGATAAAGAATGCACTTTTATTTACTTAATTATGTCTTCAACACACCCCTTCACGTGTGGGGTTGATTCTTTTTCATGAGCTGACCACGTGGAAGTTCTTTCTCGATAATGGAAGATTCTAGTGCAACTTGTTTGGAATACAATCAACAACGCCGAAAATAGTGAAAGGTGTGATACATAATTGGACATACAGGAGGAGAAGAAGGAAAGGCAGACATGGGATGCGGCACCCCGATCACTCATGTGGGTACTTTGAAGGGAAAAGAAGAAGAGAGCTTTTGGGTGGGTGTGCGTGTTTGGGGTTGGGGTTTG